GCCTTGCCCCGGTCTGCTGTATGGTGATAATCTGGGGGGGGGTTCCTTGACTAAAACCACAAAATCCCACTGAAAGGTGAAGTATATATGCCATCTGCCAGCACTACATATGGGACCTCATTAAGAGTGACAATCTTAAGGTCGAATTTATTCGAGGAAACACGAACCCTGCCAATAGTTTCACGAAACTGTTACCCCGCGACGCGCGTATCCGTTATCTACGCGACCTGGAGGAAAGACAATTCTCTTAAAATGATATCAATATCAAGGTTTTATTAACTCTACAGTCTTGAAGGCGACCAGATTGAAGAAAGATACCAGTGTTACACTACTCGGGGGCCGTCATTCCAGAGATTTCACCTAATGGCAAGCACCAACAAGACACAACAAGCTTATTCACCATCGACAACGACGATCAAATGACATCGCAGCTGCTCCATATCGTCGCGTCGGTTTACTGGCAACCTTAGTTTTCTGGCCCTTTTATTATTGTCTAGTCCTGCTACTGCTCAGTATCTCGAAAGAACAACAGGAAAACACCTTGAGTCACTTATACTGTCGACTCGGAGATTCTTTTTCTGATATGGATAGAATATCTTCCATTCATCGCTATGTCTCTACTGCCATTGTAGCGCCTCTTGGTGTCGGAAAGATAGATACTGGTCTGTGACAGTGAAGAGACGGCGAAAGTGCGCATGTTTATTGTCGAGAGCCCGCGAGCCCAGGAGCAACGACTCCCGTCCTTAAGGTGCCAACTGTGTCAGCGTACACTTCACCGTGAAGAAATACCGTTTCATCTTCTGCGAAGACTTTGTTATATTCTTACAATCTACGGCCAGAAGGCGTTGTTGTGATTTTGAACTCTTTGAGAAGTGAGGGAGAGTTCCATGGGCTCTTCATGCACTGGTCGTTGGTTCACGTTCTGTTGTCGCTGCCTCTTTTTTATTTCCTTCGTTTCATCTACAGACACCGGTAGTGTATGGATACGGAACATTGGTACCAGAATTACCCACATTTTTTCTTTTCTCAGGACGCTTCGTTCAGATCTCGCGTCGGATGTTCGAGTTCTTCATAACATATATGTTCCTTATCCAGCGGTATTGATTTCTCGATCTGTCTACTTGTCCAACAAATGAATACAATATCACCGATACATTTAAATCACTCCCGAGCACTTGTAGAAGATTCCCTTAGAGGCCAACATTGATGGGGGTGCAGCCCAGAGCAACAACGCCGTTCTGTTCGTGGATAAGTATGCATGCAATCATTTCCGAGGTCGAATTACTCACGTAGCTGTTGTCTGTACAGCAGACAGGTTGGTCGGAGCAGTCGGTGCCACCAGCGCCAATGCCAGTGATGGGGCTGCAGGTAACACCGCTGCGATGAACGTACTCAGCAAAGCAGAAGACACGATTTAGTACGTGAAAACCTACAGATCAGCGGTGATGCTGCTGAGGGCGATCCCGAGGAGGCCCAAGAGGGTCTGAACAGCGCTACTCAGGTCACTGGGCTATCACAATTCAATCGTTTAGCTCCCCAGCGTGATCGTATAGATGAGTAGCGCAGGTCAACTCACACTCTGGACAGAATTGCAGCACTGCGCGCTACCGGAAGCACAAGTGTCTTGCCGGGGAAGGACAGTGGCGGTCGCAAGGAGAGGCAAAGCCAGGAGAGTAAAAGCAGAGAGACGAACAAACATTATGAAACTGAGGTTAAGCTGTACAACTGTGAGGGCTGTTCGACTTGGTCATACCCGGTAAACTCACCTCTCTTTTATACGTTTTCGTCCTCTCTGTTATCCCCATGTACGATAGTCATCTGGTCGAGTAATAATGGTCCGTCCTGACTGGCAATGCGCACGTTTGAGGAATACCGGGACAGGATGTGGTGCTGGGTGGAAGCGAGTATCCGTCAGTACCATACCTTTTCACGGTACTTGTACTGTATTTCTTGGAATCTGCGAGAGAATTTGAGCAATCCGGCATTCCGGCATGCTGAGTAAGGAAAGAATCCGATATTGAAAGAATTAGATAGAAATTACTGGAAAAGGTGTAGTCTAGTATAAATATGAGAAGTCAATGGGGAAACTCAGGAGTTTGTAACCCAAAAACTAAAGGTCTTACAAGCACGTACTTTGGATACAGTCCAAATCTGAACACAAACTACACTGCTGATCTCCATTTACTGTTCTCTACCTCTTATCGCTATGGCCTCGCAGAACATCAATTCGCTACTCGGATCTGGAAAATGAATGGGTCAAAATTACCATGATTAGAAGTTTAATCTCAGCATAATATTACGGCGTGCAGGCATATGGAAGATTGTTTCCGGGGCAATAGAGAAACCAAAGCTTTGCAATGGAAGGAATTGGAAGGAAGGGAAACAGCAGCAGAGGATAGATTGTACAGATGGGTCATCAGCTTGAAAAGGCACAAGGGCAAGCACACAGACCAAATTTGGAAGGAAATATTTTAGGACTCGAGATTCGGACAACGAGGCTGAAATTCGAGGAAGTCTAGAGGGCCTACATCAGGATCGGAATTCGAAGAAGTAGAGGGCTTACCTAAAGACGCTAAAGGTAGAATACCGGCTTGAAGGGAAGTGTTGGAATCTCCAAGAGAATTCGAGCAATCCAGCATTCCAGCATGCTGAGTAAGGAAAGAAGGAAAGAAGCTGAAGGGAATTGAAGGAATTAGATAGAAATATTGATATGAATTGCATCCCAAATAGGTTTTCTAAGAAATGGTGTGATCGAATGAGCCAGCACCGGGCCCTCATTTGGATACGTACAAAATCTTTTCCCTGTTGCCCTGAGCACCATGACGGAACCGTTGGTCGCATCCACTCATTCATTTTCATTTCAATGGCATATCTTTACCAGGCCTTTCGAAGCCCAGTAAAAGAAAGATGTCGGTGAACAAACTCACGGTTTCTTGATCTGCTCAAGGCTCATCTATCCACTTGAATTAATGTGACATAAAAAAGGGTCGATTTCCCCCTGACAGCCTAGATTTCCGACTCATGAACAGCAACACGGGAAAGATGTAGGCCCGTTACATATGCGAAACGTACCACCTGGTATCAGATGTCCTCCTGACCTAGTCGCAGGCTGCATTTTCTTGATGACTGTTGACATGAAAAGAGTTATGCTACTTTACCTAACAAATGCAGAACACAACGAACTCCTTCAAGAGTCGAGTGGAAGGGTTCGTAGCACCTAGGCTGACAGGGTACATCGCCATACATTTGGTGTTACGCGCGAAAACGATCTAAATGGTAAAGTGCTTTCCGATCCTTGTTGGCTGGATCGAAGCATCCGCCGAGCTGGGTATGTGAGACATTAAAGACACTTAAAACGAAGGAAACACGCAACCGATGCTCAAATTCAGAAGCGACCATACCTCTTCATCGATTCTATGTACCCCCTAACCTTTACTCAAACGAGGACAAGCAAGCTCTGGCCAAACATATCACGAACCTATACGCCAGAAGGGGCCTCCCCGAGTTCTACGTCGTAGTTCTCTTTGTCGAGGTTCCCAGACAAGGTTATTTCGTCGGTGGAAAGGCCAGGGGTAACGCGGACAACGCGTGTATACCGATATGGTTGGACTGTTTGGAAGAGCGTACACGCGATAATATCACGATAGCTTTCCTTACGAAGCCGGGCCTCATGCTTCTGTTGCGCGGTTATCCTCTTCGCCGGAATCGATCACCGGATCACCCATTGAGGGAGCTCCCTTGTCATATGAGCGTCTTAGAAAGCTTTCAATGCCAGTCTACCTTCGCCCAAGGTATAAGTGCCGTTATTCACGTGGTGTCGCCTTTCTTCCGGAGTGTAGACGATCCTGAAAAGGACCTTCTTGATCCTGCGAGGCAGGGGACGGTCAAGGTTCTGGAAGCATGTCTCAAGCATGGTGTCCGACGTGTTATTGTAACAGGAAGCATCGCTGCAGTCGTTGACCCAACCAAGGTTGGTAAGCTGCCTGTATCAGTTTACCATCGATCTGTGTGACCCTCTGATTCAGGTCTTTGGCGTGACTATACCTATACTGCAGAGGACTGGTATGGCACAGCGGTTCTGTCAGGGTAGCAATATAGACTCACTGAGACACCGGGAACCCCTTAACCTACGAGCAGGCTGTTTCTAGCGCGCTTCCTGGAATGGCTGTTTACGCTGTTTCCAAGAAAATCGCCGAAGAGGCCGCCTTTGAATTTGGCCGCGAGCATCCTGAGATACGCATTACCGTAATGAATCGTACGCACGTCCTTACACTATCTCCACTGCCGCTCCATTCATTCTCCATTTAGCTACCATGATATATGGTCCCCTTGTCCTGCCTGCTGACCTGTCGGCCTTGAATACCTCATCCCAGGATATATACAATCTCATCAGTGGCAAGCTGGAGGAGACAATGTCACCTGTATACGCTGATGTGAGATATGTCGCCACGCTCCACGTCAAAGCTCTGAAGGTCGATGAAAATGAAGCAAGTCTCTTCATTTCCCTTCCGTCTTTCTACCGTATGTTTATGTGTTTTCTAGATGGATCACCGAAGGGAATCTACAGGCGAATATTTTCGGGGAAAGATTAGTATGCTCGCCACGCCGTTTCTCGTGGGCAATTGTCCATGTTGTATGCATTTCTATCAATTGATCTCTTTTGCTTCTTTCTTCAGCCTGAAATGTGTTTTTCCGAGATGCAACAGTGGACACAGGTAACGTTGGGATTCTTTTATTTCACTCTGGTCAAGGGTTCTACCCTCAGGTGCCCACGCTCGTGCAGTGCCAGATGTCATTCTTGTCGCGACAAATGTCAGTTCGATTTCTAACTATACTAGGACAGAGTTGTGAAACCATCGCCAATACCGGGTTCGCTTGGATGCCTGTTTATTTTAAGATATCTCTGCAGCTCTTTGCGGAACGCAACACATGCCCATACGATCAACGATATTTTCTTTTGTTCCTGTACAGAGCTTGAACCTGAGCCTGTCCCGTGGTAGCGTTTCGAGTATTTGACAGGTGGAGCTGCTTGCTCCGGGTGATCATATCTTTCCATTTGATCACGTTCCCTTTCTATAGAGACTGAGTATTACCGTATCTCCACAGTGAGCCTTCTCATACCATCCTTTTTAGGGTCCAGCTCGGCGGATGCTTCGATCCAGCCAACAAGGATCAGAAAGCACTTTACCATCTCGATCGTTTTCGCGCGCAACACCAAATGTATGGCGATGTACCCTGTCAGCCTAGGTGCTACGAACCCTTCCACTCGACTCTTGAAGGAGTTCGTTGTGTTCTGCATTTGTTAGGTAAAGTAGCATAACTCTTTTCATGTCAACAGTCATCAAGAAAATGCAGCCTGCGACTAGGTCAGGAGGACATCTGATACCAGGTGGTACGTTTCGCATATGTAACGGGCCTACATCTTTCCCGTGTTGCTGTTCATGAGTCGGAAATCTAGGCTGTCAGGGGGAAATCGACCCTTTTTTATGTCACATTAATTCAAGTGGATAGATGAGCCTTGAGCAGATCAAGAAACCGTGAGTTTGTTCACCGACATCTTTCTTTTACTGGGCTTCGAAAGGCCTGGTAAAGATATGCCATTGAAATGAAAATGAATGAGTGGATGCGACCAACGGTTCCGTCATGGTGCTCAGGGCAACAGGGAAAAGATTTTGTACGTATCCAAATGAGGGCCCGGTGCTGGCTCATTCGATCACACCATTTCTTAGAAAACCTATTTGGGATGCAATTCATATCAATATTTCTATCTAATTCCTTCAATTCCCTTCAGCTTCTTTCCTTCTTTCCTTACTCAGCATGCTGGAATGCTGGATTGCTCGAATTCTCTTGGAGATTCCAACACTTCCCTTCAAGCCGGTATTCTACCTTTAGCGTCTTTAGGTAAGCCCTCTACTTCTTCGAATTCCGATCCTGATGTAGGCCCTCTAGACTTCCTCGAATTTCAGCCTCGTTGTCCGAATCTCGAGTCCTAAAATATTTCCTTCCAAATTTGGTCTGTGTGCTTGCCCTTGTGCCTTTTCAAGCTGATGACCCATCTGTACAATCTATCCTCTGCTGCTGTTTCCCTTCCTTCCAATTCCTTCCATTGCAAAGCTTTGGTTTCTCTATTGCCCCGGAAACAATCTTCCATATGCCTGCACGCCGTAATATTATGCTGAGATTAAACTTCTAATCATGGTAATTTTGACCCATTCATTTTCCAGATCCGAGTAGCGAATTGATGTTCTGCGAGGCCATAGCGATAAGAGGTAGAGAACAGTAAATGGAGATCAGCAGTGTAGTTTGTGTTCAGATTTGGACTGTATCCAAAGTACGTGCTTGTAAGACCTTTAGTTTTTGGGTTACAAACTCCTGAGTTTCCCCATTGACTTCTCATATTTATACTAGACTACACCTTTTCCAGTAATTTCTATCTAATTCTTTCAATATCGGATTCTTTCCTTACTCAGCATGCCGGAATGCCGGATTGCTCAAATTCTCTCGCAGATTCCAAGAAATACAGTACAAGTACCGTGAAAAGGTATGGTACTGACGGATACTCGCTTCCACCCAGCACCACATCCTGTCCCGGTATTCCTCAAACGTGCGCATTGCCAGTCAGGACGGACCATTATTACTCGACCAGATGACTATCGTACATGGGGATAACAGAGAGGACGAAAACGTATAAAAGAGAGGTGAGTTTACCGGGTATGACCAAGTCGAACAGCCCTCACAGTTGTACAGCTTAACCTCAGTTTCATAATGTTTGTTCGTCTCTCTGCTTTTACTCTCCTGGCTTTGCCTCTCCTTGCGACCGCCACTGTCCTTCCCCGGCAAGACACTTGTGCTTCCGGTAGCGCGCAGTGCTGCAATTCTGTCCAGAGTGTGAGTTGACCTGCGCTACTCATCTATACGATCACGCTGGGGAGCTAAACGATTGAATTGTGATAGCCCAGTGACCTGAGTAGCGCTGTTCAGACCCTCTTGGGCCTCCTCGGGATCGCCCTCAGCAGCATCACCGCTGATCTGTAGGTTTTCACGTACTAAATCGTGTCTTCTGCTTTGCTGAGTACGTTCATCGCAGCGGTGTTACCTGCAGCCCCATCACTGGCATTGGCGCTGGTGGCACCGACTGCTCCGACCAACCTGTCTGCTGTACAGACAACAGCTACGTGAGTAATTCGACCTCGGAAATGATTGCATGCATACTTATCCACGAACAGAACGGCGTTGTTGCTCTGGGCTGCACCCCCATCAATGTTGGCCTCTAAGGGAATCTTCTACAAGTGCTCGGGAGTGATTTAAATGTATCGGTGATATTGTATTCATTTGTTGGACAAGTAGACAGATCGAGAAATCAATACCGCTGGATAAGGAACATATATGTTATGAAGAACTCGAACATCCGACGCGAGATCTGAACGAAGCGTCCTGAGAAAAGAAAAAATGTGGGTAATTCTGGTACCAATGTTCCGTATCCATACACTACCGGTGTCTGTAGATGAAACGAAGGAAATAAAAAAGAGGCAGCGACAACAGAACGTGAACCAACGACCAGTGCATGAAGAGCCCATGGAACTCTCCCTCACTTCTCAAAGAGTTCAAAATCACAACAACGCCTTCTGGCCGTAGATTGTAAGAATATAACAAAGTCTTCGCAGAAGATGAAACGGTATTTCTTCACGGTGAAGTGTACGCTGACACAGTTGGCACCTTAAGGACGGGAGTCGTTGCTCCTGGGCTCGCGGGCTCTCGACAATAAACATGCGCACTTTCGCCGTCTCTTCACTGTCACAGACCAGTATCTATCTTTCCGACACCAAGAGGCGCTACAATGGCAGTAGAGACATAGCGATGAATGGAAGATATTCTATCCATATCAGAAAAAGAATCTCCGAGTCGACAGTATAAGTGACTCAAGGTGTTTTCCTGTTGTTCTTTCGAGATACTGAGCAGTAGCAGGACTAGACAATAATAAAAGGGCCAGAAAACTAAGGTTGCCAGTAAACCGACGCGACGATATGGAGCAGCTGCGATGTCATTTGATCGTCGTTGTCGATGGTGAATAAGCTTGTTGTGTCTTGTTGGTGCTTGCCATTAGGTGAACTCCCTCTGGAATGACGGCCCCCGAGTAGTGTAACACTGGTATCTTTCTTCAATCTGGCCGCCTTCAAGATTGTAGAGTTAACAAAACCTTGATATTGATATCATTTTAAGAGAATTATCTTTCCCCCAGGTCGCGTAGATAACGGATACGCGCGTCGCGGGGTAACAGTTCCGTGAAACTATTGGCAGGGTTCGTGTTTCCTCGAATAAATTCGACCTTAAGATTGCCACTCTTAATGAGGTCCCATATGTAGTGCTGGCGGATGGCATATATACTTCACCTTTTAGTGGGATTTTGTGGTTTTAGTCAAGGAACCCGCCCCCAGATTATTGCCATACAGCAGACCGGGGCAAGGTGCCGGGAGTTTAATCTCATCAAGGCAGCTCAGCATCCACATCATCTGCTGAGCGTCCCTTGTCAAAGAGATGTACTCCGCCTCTACTAGACAGTGCCACAGTAGACTGGCGCTTCGAGCTCCACGCTGGTGCGCCCGTGATCGTAAACACGTATGAACGCCTGGTATCTTGACATGTCGATCGATCGCGCTTATTTCCATTGGTCACGGCTTTTGCCGTGGTGCCGGCTAGGCCGCCCGCAGCTCGTTCCATCTGGAATGTCGAGTTACCAGGTAGAAGCTCCGACTTCTATCCGAGCCCCAGAATGCCTTGTTCAGAGTGCCTGGAGATGGTTTTCTTACAATGTAGGCTTGCGCCACTGATACTTACTAGTTTTTACTTGCAATGTAGCCTAAGTATCATTTATTTCGATAAATAAAGCCATACGATGGACAGGCGTATCAGTAGCATAGGTCCGGTCTCATTGCCAACTGGGCACACAGGCTGAACATGACGAGATGGTCGACCTTCCATACCGCCGCCTCCTGGGCCGTGTCATGTGTGGACGGGGACTGGGAAGTGTCAAGGACAATTATACTGCCGATCTATTTTCCTGATGTTGTGGACTGGTTTAACATGCATATAACGGCAGTGTCGGCATGTAAAGTGCAATTTTAAAACATGGTTTCCTATGCATATCTGTACAATAGATTGAGTTCAGCATGATTTTCAACAGATTTTCTAAATCGCATGACCGTCAGTGTCCGAAGACGACACCTGTCTTTCCCCCAAGACCTGCCGGAGCAAAAGTTCGACTCGCTCACGATCCTCGCTTATACGATGCATCTCTTCCACCCATCTCGCTTCCCGCTGCTCGTAAATGCCTCCCAGCGTGTTCAGACTCTGCAACGCAGAGCTCAAAGCCCGCTTCAAATCCTCCTCCCTCGACTCGCTTCCATCAGACCCACTTCCAGACATGCTCGACGGCGTCAGGAATCGATCCGCCAAAGAGGACCTATGCGAACGGCTCTGCCGGCGCTGAATCGCCAATTGCCGGAATCCTGATCTCATCCCTTGCATGATAGGCGACCGAGCTAAAGTTGACGACTGCCTCCTGATCGAACGCGAAGTCATCATGTGCAGCTTGGTCGAATGGGACGGAGCGGCCATCAAGACCATTGTAGCGTCAGTCTGGCGATCAACAGCCTGAAACTGCCGGACGATAGGGTCAGAACTGCCTATCTCGTCGACTAAAGGAAAACTTACTGCTTGAGCAAGTGCCTCCCAGCGCGTCTCCCATCGACGACGACGTTTTTCGACACTGCTGACAAAGGAAGGATGGTATTCTAGTTCTAACAAATCTTCGTCATCTTGATCGTCATCTTCGTCCATCCAGTCATCGTTATCATCGTCGACATAGCCGTTCACCCTGGCTCCTTCCTCCATGATGGCGAAATGAGGCTGCTCCTCGCCAGCGGTCTCCTCGCCAGATGTAGACGGCTCAGGACTCGTATCTCGAGGTTGGGTGCTTTCCACACGAGGGGGAGGCTTCCTTGCGACAGATTGCGTACGTAAATCAGTAGAGTTGCGTTTCTTCTTTAAACCTACGTTTGCAGGGCGTGGGAGTGGAATGGGTTCATGGCTAGGACTCGACCGAATGCTTATCGGATCTGGATATCGGCCCCCCAGAACTCTTTGAGTGTGCCAGTACGCCCAGGGGTTAAACGACGGTGTGGAGAAGGGCGTAGACGATGGAGATAAAGTAGAATCAGTGATATGACCATGATTGTTGTTTTGAGCATACATAGACCACTGTTTAGCGAACTGTTCCTGAATAACAGAAGGGTGGTTTAGATCGTAGTTTGCTGGCATCTGACCGCGGCTGGAATGTCCAGAATACGGTTGGGACCGCCGTACATGAGAGAACGGATATGGATAAGGAGATCCCACTGGAGCGACCGGGCTGAATGGAGGGAGATCTTTGGCATCGTATCCACCGGATATCAACGGCGAGGGAGAAGGGGGTGAGGTCTGGCTATGAGGGGTAGGAGGGATAGGCGCGTCTGGACGTGGTGAGCGTGCCAAATAGGCTTGAATATAAGCTGACGTCGGATGGTCCAACAAATTAGTGAAGTCATCAGAATGCAGCTGTGGCGTATAGGCACGAGTGCGTGGATCGGAATACTGTTGCTCCGCCCGTTGCTTCTTTGGCTCGACATACTGGGGTGGGATATCTCGAGGGACACTATGCGGCTCAAACAGTTGGTCGAATCCTCTCAGTCCCAGCTGGTCCGTCACCCCATTACGCGCCCTGCCCCGACTAGGTTTGACGAACTGGCTCTGCTGCTGATATCGATCCTGGGGGATATCTGCAGGCAGGCCAGAGGAGGGAGATCGAGGAGTATACTGGCCGTCTTCATCGTCCCGCTGATCTGGCTCGATGAGGGTTTCGTCATCGTCGTCGCGATGACCGGCACGACTACTTCTCCCGTCAAAGGAACGATTGGGATCGTACCGGGAGGAATTGCCCTCTGGATGAAGGTCGGAAGATGGAGTAGGGGACGTCTGGTGATGCTCGATATCAGCACCCGCCCATTTCTCCCGGTCTCTGGTATCCCCATTGTTTGATAGAAGGTGAGTGAGCTCTTCCTCGGGCTCCTCCTGCACCGGAAGGGACCTATCGGGGCTCCGAGTGTGGATCGCTTGAAGAGGAGGCGTCTGCGTAGAGAGGGATAATGCAGGTCGGCCGTCTGCGCCGCTGGGACCCGAATTTCGTTTAGGTATCGACGACGTATCGTACTGATACTGAGCGTAGTTCTGCAGGGCAGAGGGGTGCTCTCCGGGACTCCCCATCGGGGTATGGTAAGCGGGTGACTGGCGTGGCTCTGGGTTTTGGATCTGTCCTGAAGGAGATGAGGATTGGCGATCACGAACCTTTGGACTTTCCTTCAAAGCCTGTGGTCTGCGACCGTCGACGTCCTTGGGACTGGATTTCTCCGTTGCTCGAACGCGTTCGACGACGGGGTCTTTAGATGGAGAATCTGCTTGTCCGTAGGCCATGGGATATGAACTCGGAGGCTGGGCGACATTTTGCGATTGCTGCAGATCGGCCCGCTCGATCTCGGCCAAGAGCTCCTCGGTCATTTGCCAGTTCTCGTCATGTTGGAACTTGGTGAGAAACTGCTGAGGGGTGACGCGGTTGATGGGGCGGGGGTAGTGGGTATTGACATTGGGCTGGGAATGTGATGGTTGGGATGGTTGAGGACTCGTGCGGTGCTCGGCGGTTTCGGGGAGACTAGGATGCGGCGGCGTAGGTAAAAGTCTTTGTACCTGAGAGTTTGGGGGTGATCGCCTAGAATTATTGGGCGCCGTCGGACTTGGTTGGGCAGGCTGGTGCGTAGAGGCAAATATCTGTGTAGCTGATGGCATAGACTGCGCCTTGATCGTCCGCGTGCGAAATGAAGAAGGCGACGGGGACTTCTCTCGAGGCAGCATTTGGCCTGTGCATGACGATAGTTAGTATCTGATTAATAGAGTAGCGACAAAGACAGAGATTCGAAAGAAAGGAAGGCGTGGCGCCCAACTATTACATAGCAGTAGGGCACAGATGGATCGATTTGAAACCGATTTTTCACGTTAATGAAAGAGTAGCACGAGACTTACCTTGAGAAGCTGGATGCATTTGTGGTTTACGAGGGCGCTGAGGCGACTGGTTGGACATTGCACAAATCAAAGAAAACAATGGTCCAGGAGGGCCAGAATGAGATGGGAACAAAGGATTCAGGATCGACCGCACAACAAAGGCCCAGTCTTTAGGCGAGCAGTTGTGCTACGCGCGTTTCCCTCGTGTCTAAGACAGGATGACGCCTCCAGAAGACAACGAGGTCGGCAACCACGAATGGCAGTCAGCCTCGAGGCGTCCTGAGGCTATATCTGGGAAGGAAACAACCGCCTGATCCGGCACTTTGATATCTTGTTGATTTCCGCAATCTTTAGATTCCTTGCTTCAATAATGGCAGCAGATTTTCTGTAGAACATAAGGCACTTGGAGAATGTAGTTACCAGGGGAAGGGGGGAAAAGAACTGGATGGAAACAGAACAAGACGAAGAACACAAAGGCTTGGAAAAGGAAGGAAACATAAAAGGACATTCCCCCGCGTAACGATCACGTGATAAAATAATAATTTATTTCTTGAATTGGGCATAAGGTATGCCGTCACCAAAGCTTGCCCTTGAACTCGAATTTTATTACACTTACCGTACATGTCCGCCGCGTCACCCAGTTCCAGGTGTGTTCAAGCATGCTTTATTATGCAGCTTAGTGCTGATGGCTGCCAGGTTCATCAAAATTTACGATTCGTTGCCATCAGAGTCGCAGAGAATACTCGTCGAAGCAAATCTCAAGTTCATTCTCGACTCTGCACCGAAGCGAAAGGCCAGACGACGTGCGTGGCGTGGCGTGGTGTGGCGTGCTGGGGAGCTGAAATTGACTCAATTATATCTAGTCGTGTGCTATGCCTCGAGGTTTCGGAAACGGCACTCCTTGATTCCACTTCTGGATCTGCAGGGCAAGAAGAAAGAGATCAACGGCCTACTAGCCGACCTTGCACGCGATGCGAAGTGTTCCTTCGTGAAAGACAGGTCGAACCGCGACGAGCTTCTCACCGAAATCATCGACACCATTTCCGTGTGGCTCTCCACGATATGGATCGTCATCTACGAGCACCATGTCCATTTTCGCCAGGCTCATCAGTGCTTGTTGTTCATCGCTGGCGTGTTGGGCAGGCTCGACGATGGGACTAGGGTTGGAGGGTACGTGTTTTCTGTGCTGTGTATCAGCTCCTTGACGCGTCAGTGTAGATGTCAGTGTTCCATTACGACATACGAAGTCGATATATGCGTCAAACGGACGAACGGCAAAACAGTGAAACACTTTTTGTTCTATGGACCACACAACATCAACTCTGTACTGCTATGGATGTGGAGAGAGTTGTTTGTGTGCCTCTCTGCTTCCGGCGGGCACCAAGCCAGAAAACAGCTACCCGAGATGCTGTTGGATATCGAAGAAGAGATGGGGTGGAAGTCATTGGTGCGGCTACTCCAAGGAGGCAGAAATGGTACGTTGAGCTATGCTATCAAATTAGTTCAGTTTCGACGCGTTGCACCCTTAGAAGATGAAGATGACGAAGAAGACTGGGAAGACTACAACAGTGATGATGATGATAAATCAGACTATGAGTCCAACACCGACAACGTCCAGTGCCCTTGTCATCTCCATGCCAACCACTGGTCACATGCAATCAACCGACATCGACTGCATCTGCGAGGATTCGTCCAACGGCGCCTTCATAGCATATTTGAGACGGCGCCATCACGAGATCTATACATCGCCCTCAAAGCACTAGGCGCTGACACCCCAGTCGAGACGCACAAAAACCTATTTGACATTCTGTCTCAAATCGCGGAGTACAGCTCTGACAACTTGGCCGCGGCCCTAGATGTTTACGCAGCCGAGAACGATACGCTGGCAATTCTCAATCTCCTGGATTCCCATTCGTCGCTCCTCCGCCCACGCGACGCTCCAGTCCTCCAGGTTGCCCTCCTCGTGCTCTCTGAATCCCCTCTGTTTCGGACGCGCACCTTCCAAATAATTGAAAAAGAAATGACAGACTTGGTGTACGCAGTCCGTTCTGCCATCCGCCCAAATTTCTGCTGCATCGAAGATTCTGTACACAGGGATGAACTCCAGCGGATCCTCAAGCTGCCGTCTTCTTCGCAACAGCGGAGCGACCGAATCGAACAATGGGTAGACGATGTTGTCACGCCGTCCTCCGCGCCCCTCCACGCTGTCGCGTTCGCAGCCATGATGATGGGCATCCCCGCGCCTGGGATCGAAGAGGGTGACGATCCAGATTTCTTGGGTCACCTAGACCTAGATCCGTCCGACCCTGATTTGGAAGATCTCCGGGAGGAACTGAGGCCACCGCTAGGGGAGCGATTCGATGGCTGGGTCGAGGTCACTAACGCGATCAGGGGTGGAGCGCCCATCTTGACCAAGGTCTATGCGAAAGCGACGGAACTCATGCCTTTTCTGCGCGCGCATGATGTCGGCGAGGCTATGCAGACAAGGTCGGGAATATGTCACTACTGATAGGACTGGCATTGATTGACGTGCCCTCGTAGGATCTCGGATCGACCGAGTAAGAGGCATGTGAGCGATGCCCTGAACACGCTTTCGTCGTTTGCGAAGATTCAACGAAGGAAGATGGCTTTGAGGGCTGACAAGAAACGACAAAAGCAGCAGCAACAGCAACATCTACAACAACCGGCTTCTTCAACGCAGTCTTTCCGAATCGGCGCTGGCGGATTTGCATTTAACTTTTCATCGAGCCCTACTCCACCTCCTGGCCATGCATCTTTTGGCGGTATTGATGATGTTGATTAACGTATACCTATATCAATTGCATTTAATGACTATCGTTATTATGACAGATAGATTCGCATCTTCTTCTGGCGAGGCAAGACCTTGTTGCCCGATAGCCGTGCCAGGATAACCACTCCGTCCACATGGAAGCTGCGCTCAAAGGACCCTTCAGTTCACTGCCTACACATGTTGGTCATTCGAAGGTCTGTCGAAGCCAGCGGCGTCCAGAAAAACGTGTTTTTAGGCTGCAACCCCCGGCTATCGGTGTGCGGTATCTCGAGAGAGTTAAAGAGTTAACGTCACAGTGCATGTCATCGATGCGTAGGAATAAACCACGCGTGTGGGAAGCTATTATACATAGATGCGGATGCGAACACTTTCGTGAGCATCCCGCTATGTGGGGATCGGTAGGGCTTCTACCGAAAAGGACATATCGAAAACGGCTTAACGTTCCCCTCTTCAGAACCAACGGAGGATGACGCGTACGACTCATCCACAGCACGCACATCGCAGGTTAGAGCAACCCGAAAAAATGTCAATGAAAAGGCTCCTGCTGGATTCTACAATCCACGTCGGTGCACTAGCGAAAACCCAGGACGAATCGACATACCAGAGGAGACGATGTCTGAGGACCGACGTCTTAGAATTGGGTAAGGCCGGTAACATGAATACTCAGGGATCGGAGTCACCCCAAGCTCTCCTCCTTCCCATCAGTACAACGAGACAAACAAGGCAAGCACCTCAGTTGACAGTCATCGGTGGAAGATTATTCTTCCATTATTTAAATCAAAGAGGATAGTTGACGGGCGAATTAACATTACATCTCGAATACATTTGCTTCTACTTTCCCTTTTGCGTTCACTCAGAGACGACCTGTGTAACGATGAGCCAGCACCGTGGGACTCGCATGGACCGGTTACGCACCAACGTTGCCGAGGTCTTCACAGGCTTCCTTGACACGAACAACAAGCGTCTTCTCACCCTCACGCACCCAGACACGAGGATCATAGTACTGTGTGTTCAAATTAATCTCGGCAGGAACAATATAACTGAACCGAGAGATACGTACCTTCTTGTTGGGCTTGTCAGCACCTTCAGGATTACCAACCTGAGTCTGGAGGTATCCACTCTTGTTCTGGACAAAGTCCCGGATACCGACAAGATAAGCGAACTGAGTATCTGTGTCGACGTTCATCTTGACAACGCCGTTGCTCACAGCAGTTTTGATTTCCTCCTTGGTGGATCCAGAACCGCCGTGGAAGACGAGGAACAACGGCTTCTCGGCTTTTCCACCTAGTTTCTGGCTCGCGTATGATTGGTGCTTTCCGAGCAATCCAGGCTGGAGGCGGACGTTTCCAGGCTTGTAGACGCCGTGGACATTACCAAAGGCAGCGGCGATGCTGAAGTTAGGAGAGATCTTGCTGAGGGCGTTGTAAACATCCCAGATGTCCTCTGGCTGGGTGTAGAGGCTGGCATTGTCAACGCCTGTGTTGTCAACACCATCCTCCTCACCGCCAGTGATACCAATTTCCATCTCAAGCCACAGGCCGAGGGGCGCCATGCGTTTGAAGTACTTGACGCATGTCGCGATGTTCTCCTCTTTTGGTTCTTCGGAAAGGTCGAGCATGTGGGAGGAGAAAAGGGGTTCCTGGTGTTCCTTGAAGTAGGCTTCGTCGGCTTCAAGCATTCCGTCGAACCAGGGCAGGAGTTTGTGGGCGCAGTGGTCACTGTGGAGAATGACGGGTCTATGACGGAACGTTAGAATACAGCATGGCGCTCAAGGAACAAACGTACACGCCGTAAGCCTTGCTTACAGTTCGAACATGGACTGCGGCAGCTGTTGCCCCCGCAATAGAGGCTTGCTGCTTGTCATTGGCCAGGCCCTTTCCAGCGAAGTAGGCACTGCCGCCTTGAGAGACCTGGATGATGATGGGCGATTTGATGTCCCTACAGTCGCGATGAATAAATCATCGTTGGATCACGGTCATGACGGGGCTTACCTGGCAGCCTCGAGTACAGCGTTCGCTGTCGAGGATGAGGTTACATTCTTGCGACATGAATATGAGTGTCAGGAAATCGGATATGAATGGACAGCTCACGATAGCCTATACGGTAAATACCGGTGATGAGTACAGATAACAACTGGCAGCTGCAGAAAACTCACAGGAATGGCAAACTACACGAAAAATCAGCACATATGCACTAAATTAAGCGCTATCCAGCGCACCTTGTTCTCCTTGGCGTATTCGAAGACTTTGCGGACATTATCGCCAGTCAACACACCAGCCTGTGGTCGTCGTTATCGTCGGCGTCCAGCGTCAACCGTCTGCGACACTCACCGGTACGATATCGAGGATGCCCATAGTATTGTTTCGGGAGAAGAAGGAAGATTGTAAACGGAATTCCGATGGTGGTGGTCAGTGTTCAGGAGCGATCGGATTCGAGTTTCTCCAATTTATGTGGAACACGTGCTGGATCGGACCGGCCATTGCCGGAACGACCTGGAAAAATATTTGCATTTGCAACGGGCACTGTCACTAGAGTCGGCCTGTGACCTGAGGCAGTATAAACACTACTATGACGGCTGGAGAGAAAAAAAACAAGACATATACACTCGTACGACATTGCTCCACATGGACACTCAACCCCACATCATTTCCGAGTGAATGTCGATTCCCGCGTCCAACATCATGTCGCACACCATTTGATTAAGCGTGATTACAGTACTAGTGTTCTTCCCAATGGATGCACTAAAGTGTAGTGCGGCGCGTTATTATTGGGCAGAGCAAGCAGAATCATTCCAACGGCCGAAACAACCAAATGCTTCTTGTGAGTGGGTGAGCTCAAGCTGCGGCTGATTATTCCGTGACGAGCATTGGCTCGAAATCTAGCACCACATAAGAACTACCAGAGAATGGTGTTCAGAGAGCTGAAGTACCAGCTCGACCGCATAAAAACTTGAACTGAGCACAGTTGGAAGATACAAATGCACAAGAAAGTAGGTCATTTTGATGCATGTACAAAGACCTTAAACTAGGGCTGGAGACACGAAACTGAGGATCATCGAAAAGGGGAAACATGAAGAAAGGGAGAGATAACTGCGTGGCAGAGGTGATGCTTTTCACAGGTAACGAGATTGGAAGCCGGTGGAGTCTTCATTAGTCGTCAAGGAATTCAAGAAGTTGAAGTTCAGCTAAATAAAAAGACGTGAATTGCATGGTCTGACAAGAGATGCTCCAGCTGACCTGGTAAAAGAAGTAACCTAGCGAAAGCAACTCAGAGCTTTCGTTGTCCAGGCGCTTCGCCCAAGATAGTCTTCCAGCACGAATAGACGGACGCAGAAGGGATGAACGCTCCCTTCATATCTTCGTATACTTCGCCTATCAGGGCCCACAAACCTTGATAAAACATGAGAAATTTCAGGGAGAAAGAGCATTAGAAAGCCTCTCACCTGGAGGTTTTGAGGCAGTCTTCCGGAAGTAATAATTTATATGTCGCACATCACCCATTCTTTCGGCAAGGAGAGCGTGTCCTCGGAAATGCAGCAGACCACCGACGTATGTCGATTTCGATACCGTGTCCTTGAACGGATCCTTCCTGATGCAACACAGCATTCCTGGGGCGACTGCTAGAGTGACCTCCCTCAGGAAGATGTCCCAGTGAACATCAGCGATGACGCCACCAACGTGATCGACCTCTGGATTCTCCGCAACGATGTGCCAAGCGACAGGTAGGACACTGAGCTCGGTCATCGCTTGGTCAAGCGCTATGGATATATGCGTCCGGATGAGCTGTTGGTGGCACAGTATGAGCTCGTGCCAGCCGCCTCGGATGCAGTAGTTGACCTCCAAATGTATTCTCTCGATATTCGGAAAGCATCTGCGAAAGCCAGAGTGATTAGGCAAGCTACATAGGGCTGAGTAGGGCTCCATGGCGACGTCACCGGTAGTTTCGGTGAGGTCGACATGGCGGGTAATTGTACGGGTGGATTGGAAAAGATCAGAACAGTAGATAACGGAGCTATTGGTGCGAATGACAGTGCTGAGGTGGACGAGATACGCAACCGTTGGAACGTATATGTCGCGGGATGAAATATGCGCAAAAACCTCCTTCCAGAGGTTGCTGACGAGAGGGCAAGTTTTCATGAAGGTGATACGGTCTTGAGAAGAGTTCTCCGAGTATCAGAAATCCGAAATAATGGCTTCAATGAGTTCGGCAGGGAGCTCAGGGTCGATCATCGTATTAAGAAGGAAGGATGCGGCCCAGCTAGTAGCGTGATCAAGGGCAGGGTCGGCTCCCGGGCCGTATGTATACATCGGAAATAACTTCCGATGCTTTTTAGACTGTATTTCATTATGCAACAAGTGCATCAAGTACTAAGACGTGAAAGTAACCCCGCCTCTCAAGTGTCCAAGCCATTGACTCTGTCCGCATCTGTCAATATTTCTCTGTGCAGCCAAAATTTTCTTGCTTTCAAACTCCTGAGTTCGGTGATTCATCCACTGTTCCTTTTCATGATATTGACATACATAAGAGACAGAAATAATTTCAATTTTCTTTCACTTTCAGCATGTAAAAATTGGAGGTTTCTACATTCTTGAGCATAAAGAACATGTCTCTGCCACTCTGTCAAAATCTCAAATCAAAGAGTCCAGAAATCCATGTTGCTGTATCTGAGAAAACAAATTGCTATGCATAGTTCAAATGAATAAAATCACAGGTAGACACATTCCAAATTCAAAGGTATTGTATGCAAGTGTTATGTGTTCTCATTGTGTATTGGTCTGCAAATATTCTAACTGGGTACTGATATGCTGGGCAACCATACCTGGTAAAAAGTTGAATATATTTAATTTTTTTTTCTACCAGGTTAGTCACTCTATGCCACAGTAAGAGATAATAAGTAAGTAATTATCTGGTGAAGGGCCAGCTCTCTCAAAGGGCATCACCTCAGTATCTGATGGCAACCAGAATACTAGTGGACCTTGTGATTAGCAAGGGAGGTTTCCAGATCTGAAGGACTTGTATGATCAGTATGCCAGTATGGATCAGGCAGAGTCCAGTCATCCAATCAAGCTGGCTGCAAATGAGCTCATATCTGCCCAACCACTGCATATGAGCTCATACTCATCCTGCAGCCATAGATGAGCTCATATCTGTCAGAGAATGTGTTTAGTCTTCCAGGTTGTATCAGCAAGCATATTAGTCAATAGTTGTTTATGTTAGTCAGCTATGAGTAGCTAGAAAGTATAAATATCAGATCATGTATAGGGGAAAGAAAGGTTTCTGACCTCTCTTGAAATGCTACCAAGCAAACAGTAAGAGTTGTGTTAAGAGCTTTGAGTCATAGACTCCACTTGAATAGTATTGTGGTGACCAGATCACTTTGTTTTGTGCAAGAACTCCAGAAAGCAACTGAAAGTTTGTGTCAGACAGTCAGAACAGATCTGAGACAGTTCAGAACAGCCAGTATTTGTGTATAAGTCACAACCAGGCATATCATATCAGTCCAGAAACTGCACCAGACAGACTGTTTGAGATAGATTTTATTGTATTCAGTGACACAGACAACTTTGTCCTAGTAAAACCACAATATATATCCTTGAATTACATTCTATTGCACTCTATCAATGTTACATTCTCTATATACTGAGGAGCCAGATGTTATCATTCCTCCCTTGAACCACATTATGACTTGATGTTAGTGATTTGGTGGTGTGCATCCTGCATATTGTTGATTCATTCTTGTGCCACTTCTCAGCATTTCAGTACTCTGCTCTTCATTTTGTCCAAGGTGATTACAATAAAGCTTCATCAACTGCAGCCACTGGAGGGTATGCTGTGTTGACCTGATCCACCCAATGCTTGGTGGCTTCTAGTTGATTCTGCAATGGCATAGCTGCTAATATTACTCTAAACACCAAATAATTCTCTACAATTACCCATATCTTTCTTTCCTTGATACTCAGATTGCATGTGATTATGTTGAGATCAGTCTTAAGAAGATAGATGCATAGAGTGAAGGTGCATACAGCAGAATACAGGGCTTCTGCTCTCTGTTTTGACACTAGACATTATCTTGATACATACTTGTTAGACAACACCCTGAAGTGACTGCTGTTAGTGCACATACTGAGTTATGGTCAATAAGCAAAGCTGAATTGCATTTCATTCCTCAGTGCCCACTTGACAGGAGGCACACTGATCTTCAATAAATGCATTAAAGTCAATGAAATACTGTTTAACATTCTGTAGAAACATCAGAAATCATTTCTACTTGCATGATAGAAGCATACTTTGAGCATAGCAACTGCTGTGTTATCTTGATCTATTCTCATCTTTATTATTGTCCACATGATGGGTAACCTGATGATAGCAATAGATCCAATATAGATGAATCCTATATCTTGACTCCAAGAAAATGCTGAGAGCATGTTAATTTGGATTTCAATTGCATCAGAAGTCCAAATGGATGCTATATTCACAATGACTTACAAGGGTGGTAGGCAGGCATATTTGTTGGAAATCCTGGGTGATGCACAGGGTAGACTCCAGGCTGATAAGGTCAGATAGAATGAACTTATTATTCTACAGCTTCTACAGAGCTTGTATTTATACTCTCCAGGCTTATATCTAAAATTTACTACAACTTTCTCTTTCTCTTGAGCTTACTCATCAACTCTCAGCATGATGCTGGATTGCCCTTTCTAGAACTTTCTGGTAAAATTCCAACAATATTTGATGAGCAACTTCTTGAATACTTCAAGCATAGTTGGATACCATATGCCATAAAATGCAGTGTTGAGAAATCAAGCTCAAAGTGGTTAGGAGAGTCAATTGAACTTCAATATTATGAAGTGATGACAACTTACATATGATTATGATCTGTAAAATATAATTAAATAAATTCATTGTCTGAGAGCTATATTTCAGCAGATGATGGAAAGATGGATCTAAGAGAAATTTGGTATTGTCCACAGGATAAAAAAGAAAATATCATTTTATTCAAAAGAGAAGAGTGAGAACACATCTTAACTCTTCTACCATGTCAGCATCTATTGCAATGCTTTGATATGTCTATCACATCCACAAAGCCCTTAGTTCATAGATGCATGAAAAATGTACAATCCACTCCCAAACTGGTTAGTATGACTGGTATTTTATGTTCACTAAACATGTCACATTATTTACCACATGACTGATCATATCTTAATTCATGTAAGAATATGACTCATGTGAATTAAGATTTGGTTGAAATTGTGGATGCATTGTTATATGGTATTTTATGAAGCTATTCAAGACTCATAATAAGGCTGCAAGAATGGAGGTGCAACTAGAAGCTGCCAAGAACTGAATGGCTGATATCAAGAAACCTTTTTCTCCAGTCACTGTAAGCCCCTTCAATCAATGTTCTTTATGGCAAAATTGAGTGTGATTGAAAGAGATGGTGATTAGAGCACCCAGACAGAATTTCAGTGAATGACAGTAGTCAAGAACATGTGGCACTTTGAAATACCCACATTTTGTACTAGAACAAACTTATTTCATATAATAAAAGTATCACTATCTGCAATAAATGAATGGTCTGTGACAAAGCTTGCATGCTCACTCAACAAGAAGACAATGGTCATAGATGGCCAGAAAGGTGTCAGCTGTTGGTGTAGGAGAGTTTTCAGATATCTATCATGTAACTCATCAGTCTAATCTGAGTCAAGAGAATATGCATACCTCAGTGATGTTGGCAGCATAATCAATTCTCCCAAAGTTGTCTGTAGCTTCCTGAACCATTTGGACAACTTGATCTTCCTTTGACAGATCAGCTTCAGATGCATAGAAAAGACTCACTCAACTGCTTTGACATTCTGATAGAACTTGATAGATTTCTGGATGATCTAGAGAAAGATAACCACCAAGGTGAGTGTCACAAACATAAGAAAGGGAGAAAATCATAATATTACCCCCCTTTTAAGACTATTGTCCCAATAGCTATTCTAGGGAGAGTTTGTAGTTGCAAATAGTGTTGTCAGCATTCATCAGCTGCTTGTTCACCCACTGATTGGACTCAGAGCCATAGCTCTTCCAGCTAACCAAATAGTCAACTGTTGTTCATGTTTCTCTGCTGCAAGCTCTGATTTTATGCAGTTTATAGTTAAGAATCTGATCAATCTCATAGTGTTCTTTATCATTGATCAGTTCTGGTTCAGGTGGAGGTAGTCAGTTTTGATTGGAAAAGGCTGATGCAATATAAAATGTGAGAAGGGATTCATTAAAGACATTGTGAACTCTCCAGCTAACAGAGAGGTGAAGTTTGTATGCAGAGGTGCTGACTTTAGTAAGAATGAGAAATAGTCCTGTGTGTTTGTCAGCTAGTTTTGCATTTCAGATGAGAGAGGTGAAGGTTTGTAGTATCCAGCCAAACTTTATCATTGACAGAATATTGATGTGATTTATAGTGATGTTTATTGTATTGTTTTTTCATTGTGGCCACTGATCTTTTAAGCATGGCTTAGGTCTCATCATAGATTTTGTCCATGGTGCATGCAAAATCTGAGGATGCTGGCATTGAAGTGTATAATTGTCTCATATGGGAGATGTTGGAGTGATAGCCATGGTTGACAAAGAATGGAGTTTTTCTGATTGCAGAATAGACACAATTATTGTGTTGAAAAGTGGCTAGAGCTAGCCATTCTACCCAATCATCTTATTGATAATTAATGAATAATCAGAGGTATTTTTCTATCTCCTGATTAATGTGTTCTATTTAGCCATCAGTTTGTGGGTGATATGTGGTTGAAGCATTGTAGCATATATTTAGAAGTCAGTATAGGTCATCTAAGAATTTGGAGACAAATTGAGGTTCTCAGTCTGATATAATGACTTGTGGTATGCTATATTTGGCATAGACTTCATTGTGGAGAATCTTTGCCCATCCCTCTGAGATCAACTTGGTTGAGCATGTGATTAGTATGATCGCTTTAGAGAAGCAATCAACAATCATGAGTCAATCTATTACAGTCCAGTAGTTCTATTATCATATTGACAGAGATATGGATCCATGGTGTTATGAGGATTTCATTTGGATAAAGTGGTGCTGCCTGTGGCTGTATTGAAGCCTTTTCTCATTGACATGTTTCACATCTCTTTATATAGCACTTGATATCCTATTCCATCTTTAGCCATCTGTTGTTAAGCCCAAATTCCATGTGACAATCAACATGTGATAAACAGTTCGGTACCTCGCACTTTGGGTATGTCCGACTGAGTTCACTGATGTGATGAGAGTGTTGTGAGGTCAAGGCGTTGCAAGTAGCAGGAGCTCGAGATAAGATGGTGAAGTAAAACTTTAGTTCAAGACTGGGGTGTTACAGCAAGAACTAAGCTACTTAAATACTGTTCTGTTATTGTGCTATAAATAACTGTTCACAAAAGATATTGTCTGCTGTAGAGCTATTTCCCCTATCATTGCCAGGCCTCCCACAAAAGCTGTTGTCTTGCTGCAGAGCTGTGGTCGTGCACTGCAATTTGAGGACAAAAAGAGCATTGTCTCTCCCTTCACAGCACACAGCAGTGTGACAGGAGAATGACTGACTTGGGTTGCTGAGCTAAGCGTTCCCACGGTCATAAGCACTGGCCTAAGTGCTCTGACTAAGCCAAGATAGGAGTCATTTCTGAGGAAAAAAAAAAGAAAATAGGAGAAAAATAAGAAAAATCGTAACATCTGTATTCTCATAGAACTAGTTTTTTGGTCTTGGTGATACTGGAATGCTCTGCTGTCATATGGTCATAGCAAGTGGCAATTATTTCTCCACAAAGTGATTGGTCTTAGAGAATAAAGATCTGGCCATCATAGCAGATCAACCCTCCCTTCTTTGTCATTCCTTGCTCATGGTTTATTGATGGGGCCACTTGTTGGTCCCATTTGCTGTTATTCCTTATTGCACTTTTGATGCACTCATGTATTTCTTTCTCAGTTGGCATTATTATAGCCCAAAAGTGTTCAGATTTTAATAACACCATTCTTTCATTGTCTTCTCCTCCTTGATCATGATCAGTATGTTGACTGAGGAGATCAGCCTTCCTATTGGCCACTCCTGCCTTGTAGTATAGTGAATAGTCATATTCAGAGAGCTCAGTTATCCAGCAGACTTGTCAGTGATTGAGCTTCTGAGAAAGTCAGAAATACCAGAGATTTTGATGATCAGTCCAGATCTCAAAGGTCTGAACTGCTCCAATGAGATAATGATGCTATTCAGCCAGAGCTAACATGATTGCTAAAAGCTCTTTGTTATAAATTTCATAGTTCTGCTCTGTTATCATCAATGCTTTGGATAGAAAGGTGACCAGCTGCCACTTTTCATTCTGTTCTTAGAATAGTACTGCTCCAATTGCCTCTTCACTTGAGTCTGCCTCCACTCAGAATCTTTCTCCTTGAGTTGGTATGATAAAGACAACATCCTCAGCCAATCATTGTTTGAGATCATTAAATGCATGCTGCTGGGAGGGTCTCCAGGTCCATGGGGCATTGCCTGTCAATTGAGTCATGAATTGCATAATCTTGCTGTAATCTTGGATAAATCATCAATAAAAGTTAGTAAATTCTAAAAAAGATTGTAACTTCTTTTTCTTTGTTGGTTCTGGCCATTCTATGACTCTGGCTACCTTGATTGGGTCCATTCAAATGCTTCTCTCACTGATTATTACCTCAAGATATTCTGTCTCTGATACCTTAAACTCATATTTCTCCACTTTGAGGAATAATTTGTGCTTCCTCATCAGAGCAAGTACTTGTTGAACCAATTGTCAATGTTTCTCCTTAGTTTTTGACATAATGAGAATATTGTTGGCAAGAGTATTCACATCAGATAGTCAGAGTTTAGCAGGTATATTAAACCTTAGCTTGAGACTAGAGCACATCAATGTGTACTACTGCCTTAAATACTGTCTAAAGAACCCTATGCCCTACAGGTGACTATTATCTGCTTTCCATGCTCTCTGCTCATTGTCTGAGATGACAATAACTGTGCCCTTGCTTTTGTTCATCATTGTCATTCTGCTATACCATCACTATAATGAGTTTTCTATATGCTGCAGTTCTTATTGTATTCAAGATGTGGAATGGTGACAGTTACTGCATTGTTTCTTGCTATTTATTGTGTATTGATGAATAAGGCATAGCCATGGTATCATCATGTCTTCATCATCCTTTATAAAGTTGACCTAAGGTTGAGATTGACAAGCATTAGTGTTAAGCCCAAGCAACATATAACCTAAACACATGATAAATAAATGCTGTATCAAGTTCATACAGTCATGTCTAAGTTCACTATATGTGCTTTATGTGGTATTGTATCTTAAGGCCAATACAAGTCAGCTCAAAGTAGAATAATAAAGATAAACTTTAGCTTGAAGCTGGGTATCTACAGCAAGAGCTATAATACTTATATACTGTCTGAAGGCTAGTTAAAAATATATGTACCAATTGTGTGTTTCTATGCTACTGTGCTCATTATCTTT